AAAAAAAAAAAAAAAGTAATATTTGAACCAATAATAATATTTCATACAATTCAAAATATTTAAAACGTATGACACTATAGTCCGACAGTAATGCGTGCGGCTCCATTCGGGTGGATAATTTTTTAATTAAGATTGGAAGTTTAAAATTGTTGATATAATTCCAGATTTAATATCTGGAATGAAGCATACAGCCAGTAACTAGCTCACAGGTAGCACACCTACTATTTAGGATTTTGGCGCTATTCGATTTTGGTACGATACGATTGATTTTTTTTTTTGATGATATTCTGAGTGCTGTGCAACACGATTGCGCTCCAATATATATATGTCCTTTATATATAAATATGTATATATATACAACATATACATATATTTTAACAATTTTCCTATACACATATAAATATACACAATAAAACTACGATTTTTTTTTTTTTAAATTTTAAAAAAAAAATAATAATAATATTACTACTATGAATTTCAATTTTTTGACCCACATTTTGGTCGCATTATTTTCTAATATTCTAGCATAGATATTTCATTTTGTTTTAATTTTATCCATTCCATATTTGCATTATAAATGTCAATTTATCTTCTCGTTCTTTTCGAGGTTTTTTTTATTACTTTTAATTTTTAAATAAGTTTCACTTCGGACGTCTAACAATATATTAACAACTTCATGAATAGAAGGATGTGAAATGTAAAACTGTGAGTTATAATGTCGGTGGAACGATTCTAGTCCATTGGTCGTTCCAAGTTCTTCTGGAGGTTCACCAGCCCATAAAATTAGTGGAAAAACCGCATCAGGGAATACATAACTGTCAAATGTATAATCCGCAAAATCAAAGTTTTCGGTAAGAGCATTTTTAATTAAACACGAAAAGACATTGCCGACTAAATTTTCTGGTAAAAACCAAGAGCAAAAAAACATTTTAACCAAAGGCTTATTTCTGACTTTTAATTATATTATTTTAATAAGTTGGTATTGCTTTGGATTTTTCTAAACCAACTTTGACCTAAATGGAATCTATAGGCCATCATTTTGTTATTAGGAATACATTCTTTAATAGCATTGTGTGCGCTTTTTTTCAAAATCGAAATTGAAATTACAATTAGCCAATTTTATTAATAAATTTATGCCTGTCAACTTTAAAGATAATATTGTAATCGTGCGCCACATATCTATATAAAATTCAGTTAATTTCGACATCGAAAAACAGTATATTAACGGAATGTAAAATCCGTTTTGTAATGTATGTATTTTATAAAGTCGATGGTTGTATTTTAACGAATGTAAAAATGTGCCATCAGCAGAAATATGATTTGACAATTCAATACATCTAGATTAGTTGAGAAAGTCAATACAACTATATTTGAAATTTCTTCCGTGTAACAAAAATAATAATTTGTATTAGTTTTAAGAGTATCGCGCTAGTTAACAATTGA